AATATCTAAAGAATTGATTTATAAATTTAGTCTAATTATAAAATTTTAAATAGTATTTAAATTAGTCAATATATTAAATATTTTATTTAATAAAATTTAATTATTAAATATGAATTTATATAAATAAGAATTATATTTTATTTCATTTTTTATAAGTGAATAAAAATTTAATTATAATAAAAAGGATTATTTTAATAAATGGAAATATAAATATACTCTATATAAAAAAGTCAGCGTAAAATAAATACTCCGATTAAGAAATTTATTATATAATGTATTTTTATCTAATTTGGTGAAATATATTTATTATTTAATTGTTGAAATAATAAATTTATATAATATAAAAATATTTTTTAAATAATAAATTTATATAATATAAAAATATTTTTTAAATAATATTTTAAATTTCAATTATTCATAAAATCAAAAATTATATTCATAAACTATATTATTTATTATCATTCAATGATTTTAATATATTACATAAAATTATATATATTTTAAGTCATAAAAATATAATTTTTACTAATTAAAATACAATATTTTTAAAACAAACATTATTTTCATTTATAAATAACACATTATCATAATTTTTTTATATATAAAAGTCAAAATCATATTTTAATTTTTTCACCGGTAATAACTTAAAATTTTTTAATTTGATTTTTATTTAGATTGTAAGGAACTAATAAATTTTATTATATTAAAAATTCCATACCAAAGAAAACCCTTCCTTCATAAAATACAGGAGAAAAATCAGTTTAGAAATCCGATTTAAGAATGAAATCCAAATATATATCAGTAAAGGCGTGTTCTCAATTTTTAAGATTTAAATTTACAACTTATTTTTATCTCATATTATTTTCACTATTGTTATTTTAATTTTATTATTATTTATTGAATTATAAGAAGTTTTCTTCTCCTAAAACAACTAAATTGTGATTTAAATCAATAAAACAATAAGGAGTTAGTCATAAAATATTTTTATTAATTTTATTACTCAAATAAATTATAAATAACTCCATTTTTTGAGTATCATAAATTTCAATTTGTAAAGTCTCTCTATATTAATTTTCAAGCATATTATATCCTCCATAAATAAATATTTTATATTAATGAACAAAAGCTCCAAAACGTTCTCTTTCAAAAAAATAATTAATCACTTTTCTTCCATTATTATTAAATTACACATCATAAACTTCACAAGATTAAATAGGTTTAATTGGATCTATCTAATTTATTATTATTTTAATAACCATATCCTCCAAAAACATAGATTTTGCCTTTATGATAAATTTATTAATGATATGCTCTTTCAACAGACATTTGAAGGTCTTGATATTTAATTTAATTTATCTTTAATTTGTTTTTAAGGATTTTTTTTCCAAAAAGTTAAATTTTAAAAAACTATTTTTCTACTTTCTATATCTATTAAAATTTGCAAATCCACCTGTAGTTAATATTGAATGAAATGCTTGTTTTTGATTATCTTTGCATTTTATATAATATAGAAAACTCTTGAAATTCCTATATTAAAATTAAAATAAGTTATTATTGATTTTTCGATATCATTTCCAACATATTTTATAAATACATATACTTTTTTCCACCAATTCAAGCTAAGGAAATATAAATATAAAGTCGCTTGCATTTTTTTCCTGAAACACTACTGTTCCTTTATATAGTATTCTAGATTTTCTTACACAAACACATATCCATTTTCATAAAAAGCAGGATCTTCTATAATACTAGTTTAATTTTTTATATAAGTATGTATTTTTCTTAATATTAAAAAATATATTTCCTTAATTATTTATATGTAATAATATTAAAGTTGCTTGATGTTCGTAGTCTTATTAATCCTAATTTAATTTATTTTTATTTTTATATTGCTTGATTAATATCTTAATCTACATATAAGGATTATATATGTATAAAGAGATTAAAAAGATTGGGCATTCTAATTAATTTTATTTGACTTCATTTATTTTATCAAAAAAATAACATGCTGTTTATTATAATTCAAAAACACATTATAATTTTTTACATCGAGTACATCTGCTATTGGTTTTAAACTTTTTTAACATTTTTTTTTATATGAAAAAAAAATAATATTTTAATGAATAGCTACATTATTGAAATACTTTCTTATAAAATAGTTTTTTTATTTTATAAAAATAAAAGTATTCTTCCACTGTAAATTTCAGATTATATATTATTTATAATTGAATCTTTTATAAATTATTTATTTACAAGCAGCATGTTGTTTCTTAATAAAAAATATTTTAATCTAATAAAACTAAAATTAGTATACAAAATAATATTATTATATTTTATATGTATAATTAAAATATTAAAGATTAGATATAATAAATAGAATATTAAAGTTGAAATTTAAATAAATAAAAAATATACTTTCATTTAATAAATAAACTTATTATATGAATTTTATTTATAATTACTTTTTAAAATAGTTATTTTATTTAAAAATTATCGGGGTAAATATAAAAACTAATTTTATTAGGCAATTAATTGTAATCAAAACTAATTTAAAGTGATTAAAATTATATGGAAAAAATAAAAATATGAAACATAATAAAAAAATGCATCAGATTATAAATATATATATATATTTTTTTATATATATTTTTAGAAATCGTTTATTTTAACTTCTTATTTCTTAAATTTTAAAATATGCAAATACAGAAACCACAAAAACTTGCTTAAATATAAATAATATGTTTTTAATTCTAAAATATACTAATATATTATTTATATTGAATTTAAAATAAATGATTATATTTTTTAAATAATAAAAAAATTAAATTTCAATATTCAAGATAAATAATTATATTTAAATTATTTTTAGATAATTATAAAAGTTATATACAATCTTCAAACAAATTATTTTAATTTTTTTTTTTTAAAAAAAAAATATATATATTTTATCATTTAATGTATAATATATTTAAAAATAAGATTATTATATTTATAGATCTACAAATGTTAAAATATAAAAAATACAATTATTATAAAATATTTTTCTATTTATAAATTTTATCAGAAAAACAAAACAAAACAAAACAAAACAAACAAAAACAAAATAAAAATGAATCAAGTACCTGAATGTATAATATGTTAAGACATATACTATACACCTGTAACTTTGCATTGTGGTCATACATTTTGTAAAGAATGTGCAATCCAATCATTATTAATAAAACCTTTATGTCCTATGTGTAGAACCCCAACAATAGGTAATCCCCAAAATCTGAGACCAAATACAACATTAATGTAAATAATTGAACAAAATTATTAAGAGACATTATAGAAAAAAGAAAAAGTTTTAAAAAAACTACAAGAGGATTCCCTAAAAAATATACAGATATCTAATTAGGAAAAAAATTTGCCAAAAACATATCATAATATGTTAATTTTAAATTAATATCCATTTAAAAAGGCTAATTTTCTATTTCCAAGTACAAACATAATTACCCAATTATAATTCAAAGGAACTTTAGAATAATTTTAAGCTTTATGCCCTGATAGAACTTTGTTTGTGAAAAATCATTCAGAAGATAATTCATTTGCATGTTTATGTGAAATAGAAACTGTTTTAATTGCTTAAGAAGCAGAATCTTAAAGTCAAAAAAATGCAATTAATATTTACAAATGTAAATTAAATGTTATTTAGAAAGTAGAAATTTCTAATTTTAAACAAATAACTGTATAAAGGAATACTAATGATGAAATATTTTAAGATATTTTTGAAGACGGGTTCGAATTTAGTGTCTGTGAAGGTGTCGAGGTTATAGATGAAATTTAATAAAATCAAGACTTATAAGAAAGTATACAGAATTTACTTAATATTATAAACGAAATTTTCAAAAATAATAACGTTATTTATAGCAACATGTCGCAATAATTATCGTAAATAAATTTCTTTGCTTATTTATAAAAAGATTATATAATAAACGATATTTAAAAAATTAAAGAATTTAGCTTTTTAGCAAGTGGTACGTTCAATTTTACATAAAAAGAGAAATAAAGATTATGGCAAAGTACGAGTTTAGTTGAACGTATTTATTTGTTGAATTAATATATAGAAAGATTCAGATATATAAATAATATAAGTGTAATTTTTTATTCTGATAATAACTTTTAAAATAAGGATAGTTTGTATTTCGAATTTCTTTTTTTGGCAGGGATATTTGTTTTATTAGGAATTTATTATTAAGTTTATTATAAAAAATGATATATTATTTCGTTTTTTTTTATTATATATATATATAAATATTTTTTATTTTTTTTCAATTATTAAAACATGTTATATTTATATAATTTGTTAAATATTCTTTGCAAAATATATTATTTATTATTCTATTATTAGTTTCTTCTTAAATGTTATTTTTTAATTTTTCTTTTACTTATTCTAAATATTAGTTATGAATTTAAAATATGTCAGAATTTTCCTCTACTTCTTTTCTAATTAAAAATGGGACTAATAATTATTTACATGAAATACAAACGCAAATTTTATAATTTCCGTTTTAAGTTTTTTCTTCATATTCATCTTTTATTAAATTAATAATTTCTTTTATTTCCATTTAAGTAAGAAAATCATCTGTTTCCTAAATATTATCACTCTTTATTTTCTTTTCTTTACTTTTTATTATTAATGATTAAGGATCAATATTTGAAAAATCTAGTTCATACACAATAGAATTTAGTTGTACTTTTTCAATATATTTTTTTTTGTTTGGTTAAAATACACTATTTTGTTCTATTTCTTAGTTTTCAAAATAAAAATAAGGATTATAGTTTTTTTTAAATTTTTTTATTGATTTATTTAAATCGTTTTTCGATTCTTCGCTATTTTCATTTAAAAATTAACTATTTTCTAAATTTTTCAAAAAACTGCATTCACTATTTTCTTCATTTTCACTGATTTCTTCATTTTCACTTTTTTCTTCACTTTATAAGGCTTTTATTTCTTTCTCAATTTCTTTTTCTTATTCAATCATATCCATGTTTTATAAATATTGCTAAAATCGTTATAAATTTGGATGTTAAAGTAATTTTTCATTCAAAAATTTGTAATCTAATGCATAATTTAAATATTCTAAATAAATTTTTTATTCATTTTTTAATTTTTATTATATATAGCCTAAAGGCCTTTAATATTTATGGTATTTTTATTATTATTCATTTAGTTATATTGTATGTATATTTATTTTCCTTTGTGTTTCTTCATCAAGTATTTTAGGGCAATATTCTTATCCTGGTATTTTATCTTTTCCTTAAAATATTTCATTTATTCCTTTATTTATTGTTAAATATGAGTCTAGCATTTCGTAATTTATTGCTTCTGAAGTATTTAAGCCTAATATATTTGTCTTTTTTTTTAATTCTAGGAAGATTTGTTAAGACATTTAACTCTATTCTTCGGAAATTACTATTATATTTACTTTCACTTCATGGCATTCTAATAATATTGTAATATCTTTTTTTTTTATATATTTTTTTCTATTTTTATAATTAATTTTACCACATGTTGTTATCACTAAATCTGATCTATATATATATTAATCTGCTTAAAAATAAGGACCTTATGTTTTTATTTCTAATTAATTTTAATAATCTTAATAATATTTTGGAAAAAAATAATCTTCTCTTATTTTTTTTGTTTAAAATTTTTGTTAAATTAAAAAATTTATTTTTTATAAAAAAAATTACGAAGGAAGCTAAAATATTACATTTGTAAAATCATGTTTTATTAAAACTTCATAAAATTTTGGTACATCTATTAACTATAAAAGCTTATCATTTTTATTTATTCCTAAACATACTAAAAGTGTTTTTTTTTATTCCATTTTTTGAATAATAAAAAGATATTATTTATGTAAAATTAATTAATAATATACATTATTAAATTTAATTTTAAAAAAATATTTATAAATTTTTTATTATTTGTTTTAATAAATATAATAAAATTAAAATAATTAGATAATATATATATATATATATATATTTTTAAATATATATATATATATATTTATATTTATTTAAAAAAAAAAATTATTAATATTAATTTTATAGATAATTAATTTAGATATAATAAAAAAATAAAATGTATAATATATTAAATATTTAAATAAATTATATTTTAGACAAAATATAAAATATTTTTTTTTTATAATTTATATATTTTTTTATTTATAAATTATTATATTTAATTTCCTTTTTTATATTTTTCATTTTTAACATAAATTTATTTTTATATAAAATGCTATTATAATTTTATTTTATTTATTTTTTTATCATTTCTATTGGATAATTTTTTTTTCTTTTTAAAGAAATAATATTAAATTATGCTATAAATTCATTTTTAATATTTGATGTTTAACATATTATTATATAAATTTAAGACAATTATTTTCTTTTAAAACTATAAAACCAATTGTCATTTAAATTTATTTTATAATTTTTCTATAATTAAAATAATAATATTTATATGAATGAAAAAAAAATTATATCTGATGATATTTATATATTTTTGCTAAAAATGGTATAGCTTAAATATGGATATCTTAAAATGGAAAGTATTACAAATAAACTTGATTTATTAATATATTTTTAAGTGAATTGAGTTTTTAATTTATTTTTTTAAATAATAATAGGATTTTTTTTATATTTATTTTATTTAGATATTTTATTTTTACATATTATAATTAGATTTTTTTGTTAATATACAATTTAAATTTATATAAAGTATTATTTTTATATTACTTTTTATTTTTTATTAAACAATAATTAAAAATTTTAATATTGATAAAGTTTTTTTATAATTTCATTTTTTTAACATCTATTTTCTTCTATAAAATTTATTAAAGTGCGAATCTTTGAATATACTTTGATATTGTTTTGTAATTTTCATATTAATATGTATAAATTTGATGTTAATCTTATTTATACTTTTTTCTTCGCTTTAATCTTATTGCAATAGTATATTATCTTCACTTTTTATTTATTATTCTGTATTATTAAATGAATATATATTTTTTCTCTTCCCATAATATTTTTTCTTGTGTGAAAGTTCTCCTTTACATATTTTACATTTGCATAAATTTTAACAAGCATAACAAATCCAACAATTTTAATTGTAATTTTCGACTAATTTAAATGATTAATCAAAATTTTCATAAATGCATTTCGTACAAAATTATTTTCTACATCTTGCTTTTGCACATTTTGCTTATTCTGGTGAATATATTTTGCATAAATGGCATTAATCTTCAAACATTTTTTTTTATTTTATTTGTTTTTGGAAAAAAATATTTAATTAATTAAGCTAAACAAAAAAAAATTATAAAAAAAAATATAGGGTATTTATATATAAGTTATTTTAGAATAAAAAGTATTTTTAATAACTTTAATCGATTACTATGTTTATATAAATATTTATATAATCTATAAAATCGTTCATAAACATAGAAGAAGAAAAAAGTTAAATAATTAATAAATCACTTTATAATTAAATTAAAATAATGCATTTTTTTATGCAATTAATTAATTACATTAGTATTATTAATACTTTTATTTATAAATTATTATTTTATTTTCAAATATTTTTGTTTAAATTTAATTACAATTTGTCATTTAATAATAAATATAATGCTTCTAATTAAGATAAGTTTAATTATTATTGTTTTAATTTATAGATATTAAATTTTATTTAATATTTACTATATTATAATATGTACATCTTTATTTTTCTTATAAGTTAATATTAATTTTATTTTATTTCAAAGAATATATATATTATTATTTAATATTATAATTATATTAACTAAAAAATATTTATTTTCTTTTAATTCTTAAATTTATTATTAATAAATTGTTTGTATGTATTTATTCAATTTATTTTTTAATCATTCTTTTACTTACAATTTCTTATTATTTTTTTGTTTAAATAACCCCTATATTTTATATTTATTAATTTTTTTATTGTTACTTAAATTTAATTTAAAATAATATTTTTTTTTTTAAACTTTTATATTTTATATTTTAGAAAAATAAAAATTTTTAAATTTTTAATTTAAAAAAATAATTTAAAATCTTAAAAAAAATAATATATTAATAAAATAAAAAAACAAATTAGTTTAAAGTTATATATGTAATTAGAAGAAGAAAAAAAAGAAAAAAAACAAGAAAATTAATATTATACAAACTAGTCCAGCAATCTTCAATATACAATTCTTAAAAAATTGCATATATTTTACAAAAATACAGAAGAAAGGATAAATAAATATTATTAATCGATAATAAATAGGTTATGTCCGCCTAGAAATTATTAAAAGTATAATCGAAAAAACTATTCTTTAGTAAAATTGCCATTTGAATAAGTAATGATGTCTTTAGATGAATATTTATATAAATTTGAGCCTTGTGAAGAAGAATTTGAAGAAGATAAAAAAAAATTATAAAAAACAGAAATAGAATAAAAAGAAGAAGATGAAGACGAATATGATTAAGATACAGAAGATTTAGAATTCCGAAAAACCTTACAAAGATATACTAAACTTTATAGATGGACATATATGGTAATTGATGAAGATTAACTAAAATAAAAAGAAGGACATGAATCATTGGATGAACAAAAGAAAGAAAATGCTGATAATTAAGAAGAAGATGAAATGGAAGATTAAGATGAAGAAATGGATGAAAATTTAAACAATAAATTTTAAATTAATGACATTTTTAATAATAAATTAAAATATTTGAAAAAAATTTATAAAGAATTATATAAAGAAGTAAAAAAAATGAAACAAATTAATATATATGATAATGATAATTATAGAGATATTACTAATAATAAAGCCAATCTTATACTTGAATATTAAAATTTGGTTGAAAAATATGAAAATTTATATAAATAAAACATTTTAGTTAAATAAGCTTTTAATTAAATGAAAGATATCAAATAAGTTAGTTAAAGATATACTTTTAAAAAATGATAATTTTTTTATTTTTGTTTAATTAAATATTACATATGTATATAAGTTTTATTATTTTGTTAGAAATAATTATATAATTTTTTTTTGCTGAATATTAAAAATATATAAAATATAAAACCATAAAAAAATTAAATCAGAAATGTAAAAAAATGAATATAATCCGACAATATGTACAAAAAGAAAACAAAAAGATATTACTAAATTATTAATGAGTGATTATAAAGTAAATGTTACTTAAGAAAATACTAGTGCATTTATAGTTATATTTCCTGGCCCAAAAAATACTCTATATTAAGATGGAATATGGTAAATACATGTTTTATTACCAGAATAATATCCTTATAGATCACCTTCAATAGGTTTTTTAAATAAAATATTTCATCCAAATATTGATGAAGAGTATTATTTATTTTATTAAAATATTCTTTATTTTATTTAACAAAAGATCAGGGAGTGTTTGTTTAGATGTTATTAATTAATCATGGTCTCCAATGTATGATTTAATAAATATTTTTGATATTTTTTTACCTTAATTATTGACTTATCCAAATCCCCATGATCCCTTAAACCCTTAAGCAGCTTCTTTAATGAATAAAGATATATAAAAATATGAAGAAAAAGTAAAAGAATTTGTTAGATTATATGCTAGTGAGAAATTAAGTAAGCAATAAGATAAATTAGATGATTTGGGGATTAGAAAGGTATCAAATAATGATGATAATAATAGTGTTTTAAGTTAGATTTCTCTTGATAATGTTAGTGAATTAAGTGATAACGAGGTTAGTAATGTTGAAGTTATTTAATTTTATGGGTGAATTTTTATATTTTGAAAAATAAAAAAAATTATTATTTGTAAATGAATAAAAATTTTATTAATATTTATTTTTAAATATATTTTAGTAAAATTATTTATTAAATTTTTATTTTATGTAAATAATTTTTTAGATTTAATTTTTTTTTCAATAATTATATATATTGCAATAATAAATTTTAGTTTCTTATTAAAAAAGATATTATTTTATTTTAAAAATAATATCTTTTAATTTAAGTAAAATAAACTCTGAAAAAAAAAAGCATGTCAAATTTAAAAGTTCCTTAACGTCCTCTAGGTTCATAAGGGTTAGTAGTATCAGCTTAAGGTTTAGGTTGTATGGGAATGACAGCTTTTTATGGTTCTTTTAATAGATCTTAAACTGAAGGTGAATCTTTGAAAACAATAGCTACGGCATTAGAACATGGAATTAACTTTTTAGATACTGCTTGGATATATTAATCTTTTGGCTAAGGTGGTGGAGAAAACTATACTAATGAAGAATTAATAGGAAAAGCCATTAAAATCCATGGTAGAGACAAATTTATTATTGCAACTAAATTTGGTATTTTAAAAGATTAAAACGGAGTAACAAAATTTTCTGGTAAAGAAGAAACTATAAGATCTTAATTAGCTGATTCTTTATAAAGATTAGGAACAAACTATATCGATTTATATTATTATCATAGAATTGATACTTAAACTCCTATAGAAGAAACTATGGAAGTACTTAAAAAGTTAATACTTGAAGGAAAAATAAAATACATTGGATTATCTGAATGTACACCTGATGAACTTAGAAGAGCTCATAAAATACATCCTATTACTGCTATTTAGATGGAATGGTCCTTACATATTAGGGATATTGAAAAAGATGTAGTACCAACTGCAAGAGAATTAGGTGTTGGCATTGTTGCTTATTCGCCTTTAGGAAGAGGATTGCTATCCAAAACATTTGATTCAGCTTAGGATATTTAATAAGGAGATTCAAGGAACATTCATCCAAGATTCAATGCTGAGAATTTGGAAAAAAATATTCCTAAAAAATTTTTTGAAAAAGCTGTAGAATTAGGATTTACTCCTGCTTAATTAGCTCTTGCTTGGGTTCATTCTAGAGGTAATGATGTTTTTCCTATTCCTGGTACTAAAACCTCTTCTAGATAAGTTGAAAATACTTAGGCTGTTAATATTTAACTTAGTTAACAATAATGGGAGGAAATCGAAAAATTAGTAGACCCTGCTTTTGGTGATAGATATCCAGATATGAATTATGCTTATAATAAACGTTTGTAATCATGATATTATTTATTTTATTTCAAATCACATTTTAAAAATATATAAATATTTAAGTAATATTTCAATATTTAAATTTTTTAATTTTTTAAATTTATATAATTAATTAATTTTATTTTAAATAATATTGTATTTAATATTTTTAAAAAATAAATATAAAATTAACTTTTAATAAAATATAATGTATTTAAAATAATATCATATATATTATAGTTATTAATTTAATTTAATCTTAAATTTTAATTTATTAATTTAAATGTGTTATTTTTTAAAATTATAGTAAATTAAATAAATAAATTTATTTTTAAAATACATATATTAAAGATTATAAGTATATGCTTTTTATTTATAAATTTTTACTTTTTTACTTTTTTTAAAAATTATATAATTATTAATAATAAATTAAAAAAATTAATATCTTTAATAAAACTAAAATATTATATTTTTATTTTTATTTTATTTATTAATTTATTTTTTAATATTTATAAATAATATTATTTTATTAAATATTTTACATATAAGATATATATTTATTTATTATATTTAATTCAATTTTCAAATTTTTTTTTTTATATTTTAATTTATAAAAAATGCTCCTTAATATTTCTAGAACGTTTTAAATACCTTAATTAATTAAAATATTTTATAAATAAAATATAATATAAGATATTTGATTTTTTTTTTAAAAATATTATTATAATTTATAATAATTCAAAATATAACACTTTAAACATAAAATAAATAATTAAATGTAAAATTAAAAAGTTCCTTAACGTCCTCTAGGTTCATAAGGGTTATTAGTATCAGCTTAAGGTTTAGGTTGTATGGGAATGACAGCTTTTTATGGTTCTTTTAATAGATCTTAAACTGAAGGTGAATCTTTGAAAACAATAGCTACGGCATTAGAACATGGAATTAACTTTTTAGATACTGCTTGGATATATTAATCTTTTGGCTAAGGTGGTGGAGAAAACTATACTAATGAAGAATTAATAGGAAAAGCCATTAAAATCCATGGTAGAGACAAATTTATTATTGCAACTAAATTTGGAATAGTCATTAATGAAAAAGGAATGGGCTATTCAGGTAAAGAAGAAACTATAAGATCTTAATTAGCTGATTCTTTATAAAGATTAGGAACAAATTATATCGATTTATATTACTAACATAGAATGGATCCATAAACTCCTATAGAAGAAACTATGGAAGCTCTTAAAAAATTAGTACATGAAGGAAAAATAAAATACATTGGATTATCTGAATGTACACCTGATGAACTTAGAAGAGCTCATAAAATACATCCTGTTACTGCTATTCAGATGGAATGGTCTTTATAAACGAGAGATTTAGAATAAAATATTATTCCTACTGCAAGAGAATTAGGTGTTGGTATTGTTGCTTATTCACCTTTAGGCAGAGGATTATTATCTAAAACTTTTAATACTGGAGAAAAATTGGAATAAGGAGATTGGAGAAATAATGTACCTAGATTTAAAGGTGAGAATTTGGAAAAAAATATTCCTAAAAAATTTTTTGAAAAAGCTGTAGAATTAGGATTTTCTCCTGCTTAATTAGCTCTTGCCTGGGTTCATTCTAGAGGTAATGATGTTTTTCCTATTCCTGGTACTAAAACTTCTTCTAGATTAGCTGAAAATGCTAAGGCTGCTCTTATTTAACTTAGTTAATAATAATGGAATGAAATTGAAAAACTAATTCCGGATGTTGTTGGAGATAGATATTAAGATATGAGTTCTACTTTTAACAATCGTTTATGAATAACATTATTTCTAATATTTACAATTATTTAACAATTATTTTTATTTTATATATATATATTTTTTATCTAATATATTATTAAGTAATATAAAAAAAATTTAGAGATATAAATACTTATTTTTTAAATAATTATTTAGTTTTAAATATCTTTTTAATGTTTAGGTTTACAATTATATTATAATATTCAATCAATTAAATCATTTATTACAGTATTTATATTTGTAGAAAAATATTCACTAAAATTTTATTTTAAGTAATAAATTGAAAATAAACATGGTTAATATATACTCTTTTAAAAGTTAACTTTATTTTTAGCAATTTCAACCATTCTTTAATAATATTTATTAAATTAATCATCTTTTATTTATGTTTCTTCATTTATATCATAACTTTAAAATATAATTAATAAATAAATAGTTTATTAAAATTTATTTACTCAATTTAAAGAGTAATTAAATAATCTAAATATAGTGTACTTACATATAATATACATAATCCTTTTTATGTGATTTATTAGTTTTCGCTTTTAAATAATATATAATGTAAATTAAAACAATAAATAAATAATATTTAAATTTACTTAAAGTCTAAATCTAAACAAGTTAAAGTTTAAGTTTCTTTTATAATAAAAGCTATTTATTATAATCCATAATCACTTAATTAATTTTATGATAAATTTAAACATAATGTATGTAAATTTTTTATTTTTTAGATATCTTAAAAAAAGTGTATTAATCCTTAATCATGTATTTAATTATCCCTTTTTTACATGTTTAAAGCTTTTTTTTTTTTTTACATTAAAAATAAATCTACGCTTGCTATTTTTTCATTTTATATTAAACCATTTCCTATATAATATAATCCTTAATCACTAATTGTGTTATTTCTATATAAGAGAAAAAAAATATTTAATTTATTTCATAAATATCAAATAAAAACCTTAAATTCATAAATAAATGTCTTAAATTTTATAAACTCTTTAACATATTTGAAATATATAAGCATCCTTATTAGGTAATATTATTTTCCCTGTTTAAAGAAAAAAAAAAAAATTTACTAAAAACTAATAATTTATTATACCATAATATAACATTTAACTATTCTAGCATTTGAATATTTTAAATTCCTTAACATAAAAATTATATTCCTTAATCATTAAAATTATTTTTTCTAAAAAAAAAAAAAAAATATAATAATAATATAGTATTATTTTTAAAAAATATTAAATTACAATAAGCCTAATGTTAATTTTTATAACTAATTCTAATAAATGAATGAATTTCCTAAATGAAGGCCACCTTCTTCACAAATTCTATTTACTCTTTTTTTAATAAAAAATATTTTATTTTATATTAGAGAAGATTAAATTTATAATAGAAATTACCCTAAAAATAATACTAAATTTCTAAGCTTTATTAAATTTGAGAGTCCTGTTTATATCTATAAAACTCCATTTTATTAAATTAAATTGTTCCTTTGTATAAATTATATTATTAAAAAACATATAAAATGTTTAATTTTTTTACTGCAAAAATATTGAAAGATTTTCTAATTATATGTTATTTTTTAAAAAATTAACAAATTAGCATCCATTATTTGTAATATTATTATGCCTTTTATTTATTTATTTTTTATAAAAAAAAATCAATTAAATATGACACTAAATCTAATTCTAATGTTTTTAAATTAACTAATTCTCCTATTGATGTTGCTAATATTAAAATTCCTTCATCTTGTACATTATTCCACCATAAATTTATTTTCAAAACTTAAAGCTTTGTTAGTTTTTTTATATTTTATGCTAAAGAAATACACCCTTCTTTATTTAATTCTACTCCACTATTTTTTTTTTATTTTAAAATAAATATATATTTTTTAATTTACTATAGATTTAATTCTAATTCTTTTAAATCGGTTAATTTAGAAATGGAATTTGATACTATAGTAACACCTTAATCTTTTATAATATTTTCTCTTTTTATAAATTTTTTTAAAAGAAATAATTTGTAAATTTTATTTTTTTTACCTTAAATTCAATTTTAATTTTTCTAAATTATTAAAGCCCTCTAAACCTTAACTTATCTTTTGTAATTATATTATTTATAATTTTTTTCCTCTTTTTTTTATATATACATGAATTGTTTAAATTTAAAATATTATTAAAAAAATTGTGAGTGTCATACTTTAAACAAATTTTAGCTTATTATTAATTAAAATAATCAACTTAATTTAGATCTGTTTTTATATAATTTTTTAAAAATTCGAATCTTATTTTATTTTAATCCATTTTAAAAGATTTTTTAATTTAAAGAAAAATAATTGTATTTTTCTAATATTTATTTTTTTAATTAAATTTAAAAGATTTATTACTTAATAATATGTATTTTATAAAATAATATATATATTAAATTATATTTACTATTTTAATTATTTTAATTATATAATATTAATATAGCTAATTACGCTTTCAATTGATAAATTATATTAACAATAAAAATTAAAAATATTTCAATGATTATATTATTAAATAATAATTTTTAAAATTAATATATATTATATTTATGAATAATTATATAAGCCATCTATATTTGGTTATTATAAATTTTTTATAAAAAAATAATAAAATTATATTTTTTATATGAACTTAATGGCTTAAAAAAAAAAATATATTCCATACATTTGCATCACAGAAAGTAAAAATAAATAAATAAATAATTAAATAAAAAAATTCGTAAAATAGGAAGAAAAACCAAATTTGACTTAATCTCTCCAAAATTTGACGAATATATAGAAAAAAAATAATCCAAAGAAAATCCAGTATTTAGGCGTAAAAGTTGCTATTCTACAGAAACTGGTTTATAAAGTACAAAACAATAAAAGTTATAATTCATATGTCCTAACACATATATCAAAAATCATATACTAAAGCCTAAATTTAAATTAAAATAACAGCAAAAAGATTTAATATTGGAATAAATAACCTAATAAGTGAAATAAAGTGTGGATTTAAAATAATTTGAATAGCCATACATACCAAAAGTAGCATTACCAATAGAAAAGCCACCTTAATAATAAATAAATTCAATGAATTCTCCGATAATAAATACTCCAGCAGAAAGGTCAAGGAACAATTCAAAAATTAATAATTTACAAGGAACACAAGGGAGAGGCTCTATAGGATTCTGGAAAGCTGAACAAAAAGAAAATACATAATTATATTTAGAAAAAAAGAGAAAATTAATGGCAAAATTGCGTTTTACAAGCAAATTAATAGGGTGGCATTTAAAATAGACAAAAAATAATTTTTTTATTGATGAATGTATATAAATAGATGAAAAAAATAAAAAAATAGGCGAAAAATCAAAATTTAAGAAATCTCTATATGAAAAATATAATTAAAATGCAAAAAAATTAGAAATAAAAAAGCTTAATCTTATTTCTGGTTTTGATATAAAATATGAATAAAATGGTAAAATTTTGAATAGAAATAAGAACTTTTTGTCTTTTTATAAATAAATTATTCATAATTAAAATATTAATATTTATTTAGGTTAAAATAATAAAATAACTAGTTTTTAATAAAATAATAATAATTTTTAATAAGATGGTGGAAAAATTTTCTAGGATATATATAAAAAAATAAACTATTTTAAAAATAAAGATAAGTTTATGTTATATAAAATAAAGGAAAAATCGCCTTACTTGCCAAAGTAAAAAATAATAAAAAATTGAATAAGATTTTTTTGTTAATCATTTATTTTTCTTTTTTTTCTTTTACTAAATATTATTATTTTTCTTTTTATTATTATTATTATTATTTTTATTATTAGGTTTACTTTTTTCTTAATTATTCTTTTTATTAATATCTTCATTATCTTTTTCTTTTTCGAAATCTTCATCTACGCTTCCTGGAAGGATTCCTTTTTAAAGCAAAGTTATATTAGCTTTGATTTTTTCGACATTTTAATTGAACATATCATAAGCCATTTCATCATTTTTAACTTTTTATAACTCTTCTTTAAGTTTTCTTTCTATATTAGACTTAAAAGTCTTAAAATCATAATTTTTTTTATTTTCAATAAAAGTTAACTTTTCTGACTTTTCTTTTTTCAAAACATCAATTTCTTTTTTAATTTTATTAATTTTATCATTTTCTGTTCTTATCAAAGATTCGATTTGGTCAAGTTCCGTTGCTTATATTTTTTCTTGTTCAATTAAAAGAATATTAATGTCTTTGACTTATTTTTGTTTATTTTATAGTTCTTCTAAGAATTATTCACTTTTATGATCATAATCATCCTGTGTTTAAAAGATTTCTTTTGATAAAATATCTAGTTCTTCCTTTACTTTTATTTATTTAACATTTAATTATTTAGATTATTATTATAGAGTTTCTTTTCTTAAATCATTCGATTTTATACATGCTAGTTCTTGTACAAGTTTTTCTGGTTTTTTTTATTTTAGGAACTCTTTATTTTTGTTTAATAAGCTTAAAATTTCCAATTAATAATCGTATCTAATAAAGTTATTTTAAACATTTAACTATTATACATTTATATTATTCCTTAAAGCTTCTATAAAAAAATAACCAGATTAATCTCCCATTAAGTTATTTTAGGCTTAAATTCTGATTAGTTTTGGATGTTATTTTAATAGTTTTGCTAGTAAAATACCTCCTTCTTCTTAAATATTGCATTTGTTTAAAAAAAGTTCCTATAGGCTTTAATTTTTTAATTAAATTAATTACTAACACAAGTATTTAACACCTTCATCTCCAATAAAATTTTGGCTTAAATTTAATGAGATTAAGACATCATTTTAGGCTATTCCATCTGCTAGTTTAATCAAAAAGCAAGGATAAATCATACAATTTTTAAAGGAAATATTTTCCAATGCAGTATTATTTGCAAAAAAATTAGTCAAATAATCAGAAGGAGCATCCATAAATTTATTTCCTTCCAAATCAATTTATTTACACTTATTATTTCCCTAAATATAGGTCAAGAAATTACTTAAGCCGATGGAATTTATTTCATTATTTGAACATTTTAAAATTTCAATTGAACAATTATTACTTTTCATCCCTTCTCCGAATTTCTCTATTGAAAAATCGCCTATACTGTTCCCAGAAACATCTAATTCAGTTAATTTAGTGTTAAAAAGGTAATTTACAATAATTTTACCACATTCGCTTCCTATCTCATTCCATGAAATATTCAAATAAACTAGATTTTTATTCATATTTAGCCCTTGTATTATATTATATAGACCTTAGGGACCTAAAGATATGTTTTGTAAATTCAAAAATTACAAAGTCTCGTTTTATTATAACATTTTTCTCAATATTCGCGCTGAGTCTGGATTTATTCGGTTCCTATTGTAACTATCAGGACTTGAAATATCTAAAGAGTATATGCTTCGACTCTCTTTAACCATTTAGAACATTATTTCGCAACCTTGAGGACTTATGTTGTTATTCGAAATGTTTATTATGGCGATTTGGGGCGCTTTTTTTAATGTTTCAGTTATTATTTGGACTCCTTCATCCTTGATTTGATTTTTGCTTAAGTTTAGTCTAGAAAATGTGTCGTTTTGTGCCAAAATATTGTCTATTATTTTGGCACTTCGGACGCCTAATTATTAATCGGATAAATCAAGGTTTCCATTAATGCAGTTTTTTATAATTCTATCAACAAATTTTAATAATTAAGGAAGTTTTACATCTAATAATATATCTTAGCATTTAGCTTCGTATAATTTTATTACATGTTCTACTTTTATTGAGTTTAATTCTTATTTGATTATTTCGTCATTTAAATTGTTTGGATCAAAATATGTGGATTCTTATATATTAGAATAGACTGTAATATCGGGATTCTGGGCTTTTATATTGTCTATTGAATGTGTATCGTGTGCTGTTTATAATGTTTGCTTTTAGGATTTCGTAAAATTTTTAAATTTTGATTGCTTTAATGGCGATTATATGCGAAATGGACGAATTAAACTTGCAGATTTTAGTTTTCTGTTCATTTTTATTTTATTTTAAAAAATTATTTTGGAAGCTTATTTTATATATATTTTTTATTTATTAGTTTATATTGTTTTTTTTATTATTATTAAATATATTTAATTGTTAATATTTATTTTTATTAATATTTAATCATGGATAATATTTTAAATTTTCAAGTATTTACTTATAAATAAAGATTAATATATTTATAAAATATAACTATTGATTATTAATATTTTAATTAATATAATATAAAAAAAAATTAAATATATAAAAACTAAATTTTTTAATTTAAAATTAAAGATTCAAAATAATAATAAATATATAAACTTATATATATAAAAAAAATTAAAATAAAATAAAAGTTTTGATAATATTAATTAAAAATATAAAACTAGAAATATTATATAGGTATATAATTTTTTAAAAATATGCAATAATGCAATATGGAATAAAAATATAATATTAAAGAGAATGTTTTTTTATTTTACTAAAATTTATAAATATAAAACTTATGTTTATTTATAAAACTATATATTTAAATATATATATAACTATATATATAACTATATATATAATATATATATATATATATATATATATATATATATATATATTTATTATTTTTTCATATTTAATTCAAACTTTTTATTCTTTTTATGAATTATTTATATTAAATTTAGATTCAATATTTTAATCACCTAATTAGTTATTATTATCTTTCTATTAATTATTTATTATACTTCCTATTATATAATTATTAAAGTTTTCAATAACATTACTTTATTCTTTACTAAATATATATAATAATATTTAAATATTTTTATAATTTTTAAATATTTTTTATAATTTTTAAATATTTTATTACTTTTAACTTTAAGATTATTAATTTATTTATTTTTATAAATCATCAATTTTTTTATTTAATAAAGTTATTCTTTTCTCGAAATGCGAAATTTCTTATTTACTTTTTTAATCTTCATTATTATTTTTTTATAACTATATAATTTAATTTCTATTATTTTCTCTATGCGAAATAAGTATCTTTATTTATTATTATAATTAATTTATATATAGAGTTGATTCTCCTTATTTTTATATTTATTCTAATTCTTCTGCAGGATCTTTAAATTCTTAAAGTTTTAAAGGTTTTAAATTTGGAGAGTTGTCAAATTATTTAATTTCTTATAAATTATTATTTTATTAATTTATTTCATTTTAATTCTTTTATTAAAATTCATCAATTTATTATTCTTAGTTTGCTTGTATATATTTATTCATAATTAATTCTTCTTCATTTTATCCTGGGGCTTAAATAGTTTTTACTTTTTGATTTGCTTATAAGTTTTATAAATTTACTTAGTTGCAATTAGAATTTTAGCTTTTTTTTTTTTTAAAATAATATATTTCAAAAAAAAAATACGAAATGACAATTTAGTAAATTTTCCAATTTTTTTTTAAAATAAAAGAAATAACAGATCTCCCAACTTAAATAGCAATATTGCTATTATTATTATCTAAAACAATAGGTTCTTTTACCAAAACTAATGTCCCAAATTTACTATTATTATCTTCTAAATAAAAAGATCCATTGTTATAACTAAGTTAAGCATGTCGTCTACTAACAGAAATATCACTTATACGGATATCAGAATCGTTTCCTCTTCCTAATTTAATATTTTACCTTTAATCTAAAGAAATCACATGAATTCCTTTGCAAATATTTTTGTCTTTACTTAATATTTCTAAAGTAATATAAGGAGCATTTGGTTTAGGAATTTCCACAGTGTCATATATTATATTCTTCACTTTTACCATATCTTTATATTTCATATTAAAAATGAATATTATGATTATTTATAATAAAAAATTATTTTTACTTGGAAATGGTTATTTACATAATTCACAATCAAATGTTTTATAAACAAAAGATACTGAATAACTTGTTATTTTTGGATGAATTCTGCTTTATAGCCACTATTATAAACATTTTATATGAATAAATCCCATTGTACCATCACATCTACAAGGAGTTATTAAAGGATTTTCTAATTCTTCATTATCTCCTAAGCAAATTCTACAGACTCCAGGTTCATCTTAATTTTCCATTTTCTCCATTATTTAGTCAATTTCAAGAATGTCTGCACATGGATTAAAATGAAAGTTATTTATATTCTATTTTTTATTTTTATTTCTATTTTATATTTTTATTTTTTAAAAAATAATTACCTATTTTACGCAATTTAATCCTTATAATTCTTTAACTCTAAAACGAATTCGACCTAATTTTACATAATCACCTACTTTTATTTCATAGCCTTTACCTCCATTTATATTTTTCAATGATTTTACTACAGTCCATAAACTTTAATCTCCTAATCCCTCATCTTCTTCCTATTTCTTTGGATCTTAATTATTTACTCCAAATATATATTATGAATCTACAACATAATGGTTATTTCTAATGTCTATTTGAGCTAATTATAATAATTATTAATTATTTAATTTCTTTTTTTTATTAAAAATTGTTTCATTAAAATTTTAAATTTTACTTCAATTTATTATTAAGTAAGCATTTTCATATCGTCTTTATCTCTAAATATGTATCCTTTTATATATTTTTTAAACAATAATATATCAAATATTAAAATATTTTTAATAATATAATTTAGATTAAAATAATAAATAATTATGTTTGAATATATAAGATAATTAAAAACCTGATTCTATAACTTTTATTTAACTTTTTATAACACTTTTACATTCATAATCAAATAACCCATGTGAATCTCTATTCCATGTATATGTTTTTATCATTCTTTTTTTATTATTTTAATAATTAATAAATAAAATAAATAAGAAAAAAAAAAATATTTGTATTTTTATTTAATTAATATTTTTTTTTAAATACAAATTATTGCTATTTTGTTTTTTCATCTTTTCTAATTTTGTTGGATCATTATATTAATTATTATTCTAACAATTTCCCATTTTAGTTATTATGTTTATTTTTGTTTTTTTTTATATTAATATTTTAAAAGTGAATTAAAAATAATTATTTTTATTAAAAATATATATAATAAATAATAATAATTATATAAATGTGAAAATATAAAATAAAAGCTATTTTTAATATATTAATATTAATATAAATAATTAAAGATAATTATATGTAACTTTTACATATTTTTTATTATTTTTTCCAAAACTTTTTTTAAAAACTAAATTAAAAAAAATGCATAAAAAAATATTTAATGAAATAATTAATACATATAGCTATTTTTTATTTATAATTTGTTAATTTATAAATTATTAAATTTATTTAATTAAATTAAAATAAATTTATATAAATATTTTTATTAATTAAACAAATTGTTTTTATATGTTTTTCTTCTATAAAATCAATTTATTATTTAATATGTTAATTTTATTAATAATTATTCATATTAAAATATTATCATGCCATTTTAAATATTTTCTTATATTTTTTTTAATACAATTTTTTAAATAAAATTATTATTTTAATTCATAAATTTTCATTTTTACTATTAAATATTTTCAGAATATATTAAATAAATCCTTATAAACAATACTTCAATGCTTTATTTATGAAACATATTGTAAAGTGTTTGAAACATATATGAATATTTATATATTTTTTTTTTCTATAATATCATATTTTTAGCATTTTTATATAAAGTTTTATAATAAATAATATAAATAAAATTAGAATTTAAAAATGTAGGTTTAGTCTTTAAATAACTTCGATAAAGTCTTAATTCAAAATTAGCAAATAATATTTTTATTTATTTCATAATAAAAATATTTATTGATTATATTTTTAATATAAAAAATTAATAAATGATTCTAAAATAAAATAAAATATTTTTTTATAAATGAAAAAAAAAATTATATTAATTTTATCTTTTTTCAAATTGTTCTATTTTTTAATATATGTATTAATCAAAAAAAAAAAAAATTAATTAAAAAATTTTTTTTTTTACCATATTTTTAAAATTATTAGATTGCTTTTTATTAATTATTTTTAATAAAAATCTTACGAAAAAATAGTTTTTCTATTAAATTCATTTCTTTAACTTATTGATTTTAGTCAAAATTATTTTTGTTAATTATTTTTTCATATGTATAATAAAATCCTATATATATATATTTTTTTTTTTTTTTTAGTAAATTGTTAAAAATTGAAAAGATTATAAAATAAAAAATAAATATTTAAAAAGTTTAGTTAGAATTTTAGCTTAAAATATTTAAAATAAATAATAATAATATAAAAATATATGAATAAAAATAAAAGCATTAAAACAAAAACAAAAAAAATAATTTAAAATTTCTTTATATTTCTTTTTATTATTGTATTTTTTTTCATGCAATATAATAATTTTAAAAGTGTTAATAAAAAATAATAATAATTATATTAAATATATTTATTATATTCCAGATTAAAAATATAGTTAAAATGGGAAATTCTAACAATAATCAGAACTAAAATGAATAAGTAAAGAATAAGTTAGTTTTAAAAATCAAAAATTAAATATAAAAATTAGAAAATAAAAAATAATATAATTTAATGTCATTAAAATTAAACCAATTATCCTAAGTTCTTGAAAAAAAAAAAAAAAATTATGGAAGAGACTTAATAGAGATTTATTTAAAAATGTGTAAAATTAATGCAGAGTTTAAGGAATTTTAAAAAACAATGTATTATTTAAAAAAAGCTGAAGATATTTCAATTGAACTTTTTGGAATAAATAATGATATTTAATCCTAATTTATAAAACCTCTTTAATCTGAATATTCGATATTTGTTTCATAAAATGTTTAAAAAAAAAAAATTTTAAGATCTGCTTCTTAAAAAACAACAAAACATAGTGAAATAAATACATTAAATATTATTTGGGAAGATCTAAAAGAAAGTTAAGATGAGTCTGATGAATTCGATGAAAAATTAATTATTTAATAAATTTTTGAGTCAAAATATAAGTCACAATCTTTAAATTAAATTGGTTTATGAAAAATAACAATAATTTTAAATTAAAATTAATAAGCAAAGAAGATTATTATATTATTATTTTAAATATATATATATATATATATCTTATATTATATTTGAATTAAAACATACACATAAAAATGTATGCAATGAAAAACTATTAAAATATATTATTATTATTATTATATTATTTTTATTATATTATACTTTTTAATTATTTATTTATTCATTAATTTATAAATTTTTATTTATTATATTAATATTAATATTTTATTTAAAATCTATAATTTGATCATTTTTAATTTAAATATTTATATAATATTTTATTAACTTAGTCAATTATATTTGTAAACAATTCTTTTACATTAATATGTTTTTTTCAATTTTTAAAATATAGATTATTTTTGATAGCTTAATTAAATAAAATAATATTAATATTTATTTTATTTCATAATTTTGATAATAAATTAAGTATATTAAATTAAATATAAATAAAAATTAATTAACTATAATATTTAATTTTAATTTTTGTTTGCAAACATATCATAATAATTAATTGAATTTTCTAATCTTTAAATAATCATTATAGTATAATTATAAAGGACTATAATAATAAATATAATACTTTTTTATTTGTAAATAATTACAATTTAAATTTAAATTTAGATTAAAACAATAAATAAAAATATTTATAAAATTTTATTTCTTTATTTTTATGATGAAATTCAAATTTTATTGAAATAATTCTTTAAAATTTTAGTTTTTTTACTTTTAATTTATTAATTACAAGTATCTGATTATTTCTAGTTTAAATAATTCGATATTAATATTTAAATACAAATAAATATAATATGATTAAATTTATTAACTTAATAGTTATCAGTATTTTTTTTTTTTAAATATATTATAAGATATTTTTTTTTTATAAAATATATTAAATATTTATTTTATAAATTATTCCATATAATAAATCAAATATTCTTATATAAATTATTAATTAAAATATTTAATGTAAAATCATATTTTAAATATAATTTATTTTATTTAATAATTTATTCAAACTTTTTTTTCTTTTATATATATTTATCATTTTCTAAACTATCATTTAACTAGTCTGAATTTTTTTGGGTAAGATTGTTATTTTGCTTATTATTTGAATTTTATAAATGTGTTTATTTTTTTTTTAATTAATATCATTATTTGTATTATTTTTTTAAACACTTTCGTTTATTTTTATTTTATCTTATTAATCTTATTTTTATAATTTTTCAAATTCAGTGATAAAAGGCTATTTAATAATTAATGTACATATATTTTTATTTAAAAAAATTATAAATATTTCTTTTACTTTTTATTTTTCTTTAGGTAAATCTGACCATTCTTTAGCTATAAGTTTTTTTATTTGAGCTATTTCATAATTAGGATATTGTTATTTAAATTTGTCTTTTCTATTTGCAAAGTAAAGATCAAATGGAGTAAGTTATTTTTTTTAAGGAGAACTTATTTCTAAATTTTCTTCATTGCTAATTTCAATAGTTTATGGATTTTTACTTTTTTTATTTATTTTTTTGACCTGCTTTTATTCTTTTTTTTGTTTAAAATAAAATTGGATATATAAAATTATTATTATTTTTACAAAGAAAATTATTGCAAATATCAATCATTACTCCACTAAAATTATATAATTTTTCTGCTAATTGTTAAGTCTAATTTTTTTTTTATATTTTTTTAATTAAAATGATAATAATTTATTTTTTATATATCCTTTACGAATTAATCGGAATTCATTTATTTTTATTTTTATAGAAAAACTATTTTTTTATATTATTAATTATATTCCTTTTTTTTAAAAAAAAATATTATTTATATTTTATTTGAATATCTAATAATTTGATCTATAAATATATTTTGTCCAGAATGTATTATTATTAGAAAAATTAATAATTCAATTTTCTTCAGAAATATCTAAATTATTTAAATATATTTTGTACCGAATGTTAAATAATAGTAAATAAGTAATATTAAAATTTAGATTTAAAAATTAAAAGAAAATAAAAATGATTAAAATAGTGCATAAAATTATTATTACAATATAAATTAATAAAATTAAAATATAATTAAGAAAACCAAACCTTAATATTTTAAAATATAAATAATATTGATAATAATAAAATAATATTATATAAAATAAAATAGATAAGTAAATGAATTTACAAAAAATATTTATTCTTAAAATATAATTATTATTTCTTAAATAAAAATATTTCATTTTTTAGAAATTTTTTTTTTGTATTTAATTTTTTTTAAAGATAATCTATTATTATTTATGATTTATTGATTAATTACTAAAATATATAATAATATATAAATAAAGAAATACATATAAATTAATTGATTATCGTTTATAAGTTTAAGTAAAAACTAAGTATAATTATAAAATAGACAATAAATAAGCATAAAAATATAATTCAAAGATAAAAGCTTTCTCCACATCCACATGATCCCTTTTTAAAAAAAAATTAAAAAAGTTTATTTTTTATATTACTTTTTAGTTAGGATTATTAAAAACAAATTCCGCTTTCAAATCATCTTCTACCCAATCCATTACAGTTCCAACTAAAGCTATTAAAGCTTTATTATCAATAATAATAGTAACACCTATAAAAATATATAAATATGCATATCTTTTTAATAAAATACCTTTATCTTCAACTATTTCATCAAATTTATTTTCTTTCTTTCTTTAACAATAATTTATTGTATAGCTTAAGCCACTACATCCTCTTTTTTTAATTCCTATTTTAAGTGCATTTAATTCTTCATTTGTTTTTTAATCCATAAGCTCTTTTATTCTAAATGCAGCTTTATCTGTCTATTTATTTAAATTAATAATTATTTTTTAATTTTGAAAAAAATATAATAAAAAATGTCTACTAATGTTAAAAATGCTTTTAGGGGGGGTCTTTTAGAAGCAATAGCTTCATGGCTAAAATTTTTAATTTATTTTTAAAATATTTATTATTGTGCAAGTTTATTTGAAAATAATCTAATCATTTTTTTAATTTTTTATTTGTTTTCTTGTAAAAAATTAATAATTAAATATTATTTAAGGTATATTATTGCATTTAAAGTAATTAAATTCAATAAAAGAAAAAATAAATATATTTAATATTATAATGAAATCTAGAAAAAACTTCAATATAATATTATTTCTATTCTAAAAATATAAAAATAATACTTTTATTATTTTTCGATGAATATTCTAATAAATGATAAGTAAAAAATTATCTTTTAATTGATAATTTGAGAAAAAATTCTAATACTATTAAACTATTATATATATAAATCTGAATTAACATTATGTGAAAAAACTCATGCTTAAAGAAAAAAAATTATGATTATTTATAGCAAATAAAAATATAAATAATATTAATTTAAAAATATTTATTATATGTTTTTTTATTTTATTTAAATAGTAAATTTCATAAAAATATTTATTTTTTTAATTATTACTTTTTAACATTATTATTTTATAAAACTTAATAGGCAATAAAAAAAAGCGACAAAAAATGCATTTTTTTTTTTTTTCTTTAGTTGTATGAAAAATAATTGCAGAAAAAATGAAAACATGTTAAAAAATAATATATAAAAATCTTATATTGATAAAATATAAATATGTTAATTGTAATTAATTTGTAAATATTCAAAAATAAAATTAATAGCCTTTACAAAGTCTAAAAATTACTTTTTTGAACCTTCATGCATACAATGGTTATTCTTTTTTTTAAAAAAAAAATATTGATTTTATTTTAAACTTTTTAATTTAATAATATTTTTTTTAATTATAAAAAATTTTATTATTTTTAGGAGAAAAATGTATATTATATATAGTCATTACATTAAAAATGAATTTAATATTATACGTCTATATAGTAAAATAGAAAACTATATTAAAGTAATTTAAAAGATTAATAAAAGATCTTAATTTATTATGATAAATTTTAGTATATTATTAACTAAAATTATATAAAACCTACTATTTTTTTTAAAATATATAAATGTATAAACATTATTAGAAATAATATATATAAAATAAATTATTATATAATAATTATATATATAAATTAAAATTTTATAAAAATTCCTTACTTTTTAATTTCATTAATAATAAGATTTTTAATTTTTTTTTTTTTTTAAATTAGAAATCATTAATATTATTTAAAAATTCATTAATTAAATAATTGTTTTAATAAAGAAATATTATAATTAATTTATTATTTTATTATTTATTCAAAGTTTTTAAATTTTATTTTTAAACATTAAAAATATTATAAATACAATAGTTTTTTTTATTATTATTATAAAAGCATTATTTCAAAAATATTATATTTAAAGTTAAAGAAAACTAATAAAAATTAAAAGTAAATAAATAAATATTTTTTATACAAAGGAAAAAAAAAAAAAAAATCCTTATAATATAAATATTTAATATATTAAAGAAAAGTAAAAATAAAATAAAATATGAATCCTATTCAAAAAGCCTGGCTCCAAATATTATAACCAGTTTCATTTGTAATTAATGAAAAACTTGCCAAAAGAAGCGGTACTAAAAAAATTATAATAAAAAAAGCAAAAACCAATAGATATTAAATATTAAAAAAAAAATATTTAATTATTAAAAAATTAAAAATAAAACAGGTTTATTAGGAAAAATTGGTAGATTTTTCATGATTGGACCTAGAGAATATGGCGTCCATCCCCTAAACAGAATGTTTATTTTCCTTAACAGAAAATATTTAAGTTATTAAGGAGTAGCTTTGCATAGATATTCATTTATAAAGTAAAAAAATATAAAGATAATTATAAAATTTAATATTTTTTTAAAAAATAGGAATTTAACACATAATGGATATCACATGATTAGAATTGTTAAACATGCTTCTTTTGTTTTACCAACTTGCGTTTTAGCTGGTTTAGGAGTTTTTGCATTTTATGGTGATTCTAATAAAAGTTATGCGTAAAAACTAAAATTTAATATATAAATTTTTATTTGATTTTTTATTTTTTTAGTCCTGATCGATTCCCTTATTTGAAAAAAAAAGCAGGAGATTAAGCTTTGCCTTTAGGTTCTTTAAATTAAAGAACTTCTGCTCATCTTATTGAATGTAATAGTATTTATGGAGCAGAAATGGTCAAAAGAGTATAAATTTTTTTACTTCTCTTATTTTTATTTTTTTAAAGTATCATTCTGTTTGGTAACAAATTATCTAAGATAGAAATTTATGTACAGAAGAAGAAAAGAAAACTAAATATGCTCGCGAAGGTTACTAATATAAGCCTTTACCTGCTGTACATTTACCTAATGAATCACCTTTTGGTTTACGTTTATGATTTTATTTATGCTTTTTTTTTTTTTTTGGACAAACCAAATTTACATATTTTTATTTTATTTCATTAATGAAGCATATTATTTCATTAAAATATTTTTATAAATAACAAAAAAAAAAAATTATATTTATTTTAAATTAATTAACAAAATATACAATTTATATATATAAATTAATATTAATTAATTAAATTAATTTTAAATAAATTCAATTTATTATTAAAAATATATTAATTTTTATATTATTTTATTATATTTATTTTTAATACAATTATTTTTTTTAAAAAAACAAATTAATAAAAGATAAATAATTTATTTTTTAATTAATCAAATTAATTTTTTTTGTTATTAAAAATATATTATTTTTATCATAAAAAACAAATTTACTTTTAAGGTGCATCGATTTCTTCAAGTAATTTTTTTGTTATTTATTTTTGATGTTATATATACAAAACTTATAATTAATAAAAAAAATCATAAAAAAATAATAATAACAACATTATAAAATATATTAAATATTTAAAAGATAAATAAAAGAAATGAATGAAATATATAATTCAAATTAAGATAGTAATATTTTTTTTCTAAAATTATTTAATATAAAAATTTAAGGCCAAAATATAAATGATAGAATTAATTAGCATAGAACAGTAATAGGAGAAGGAAGTAAAAAATAATATAAACCAACTTAATTTAATATTTTGTTAAAAATATAAAAGATTATCAAAGAAAAACCTCTCAAATTTAAGTAGAAAAGAAACAATATCATTTAGGTAGATAAAAATAACAAAATAATAATTATATTTATCTAAAATGTTTTTATTATAATTAAAAAATATATAAAATAAATATAGATTAATCTAAATTTCAATAATCTCCCATAAATATAAATTCTGATTCACATATTTACTTAAAAGATAATTAAAAAAAAGTATTGTAATAGATAAATCAGAATATATATCTCCTTTTGATAAAAATTATTTTTCACCAAAAGAAGCAAAAAATATTAATAATATATAAAAATTACCTCCTTTATAAAATTTATGGCATAAATAATAATCGTATAATTTATAATAAATTTAAGAATAAGAATAGTAATAATAAAGATTAAAAGCAAAAAGGTATTTAAAAGTAAATATATATATAAAAATTTAAATTAGAAGAAGTAATATCATGATAAAAGATAAGCAAGCTTATGAAAAAAATGTTTACAAACAATAATTAAATAAAATTATTTAAGATTCATATTAAATTAATAATAAGAATTAGAGACAAAATATATTTCACAAATAAAATAAAATATAATAAAAATACCAATCTCTACCTCCTAAACAAAACCAAAATAAAAGTAAATAGGAAAGTTATGAAGAACAACTAGAATAAGAATTTGAATTAGAATAAGAAAAAAAAATTTTACAATAAAAAAATGAAATAACTTAAAAGTATCCGACATATTAAATTCTGAATTAATAATAAAGTAACATCCATAAATTAGTCAATAGCAAAAATGTAAGAAGTCAATAATTAATAGAATACAATTCAAAAAATAGCAATAGTAAACTATCTAATAGTAATATGGTTAATACAAAAATTAAATTAACAAAAATAAATTAAATATAGATATCTTAAATTTAATACTAAATGATAACATATATAATGGAACATATAATAATAATTAAGTAAAAATATAAATATATATATATATATATATATTTATTTATGTTATATATACAAAAAAAATATTTTTTTTCCATCCTTTTATTATTCAATAATAAATAATATTTATTTAAAATAGTTTACAATTTTCAATAATTTTTATTTTTATACAATTTTTTTTTTTAATTTTATATATCTTTTTAAACCAAATATATATTAATAATTTTTTTTTATTTTTTTATATAGAATAATTAAAAACATTTTTTTATAAATACTTTAACTAAAACAAGAGCAGGACAATATAGTCCATCTGATAGAAAAGTTAATTAAGATTCTAGTATAAATATGATTAAAAAAATTTCAGATTAATAAATTGGTTTTTTTGGAGTTTTCGATGGACATGGTTTTTTTAATAAAATTTTTTAATCCTTTTTAATATATGCTTATTTTATTTTTAAAAGGTGAATACGGAGAATAAGTATCTAATTATGTCAAAGAAAATCTTTAAAAATATCTTTTGTTTAAATTAAAAAATACATAAAACATAATTAGTATACTTAATGAATGTTTTGATAGTGTATCAAATGATTTATTAAGAAATAATTAAATAAATACATATTTAAGTGGAACAACTGCTGTAACAGTTTTTATTTAAGGAAATAAAATTTATTGTTCTAACTGTGGCGATTCTAGGGCTATTTTAGCTAAATTTAATTAAAAAGATTATCATCCAATATGGAAAAATATTAATCTTAGTAACGATCATAAACCTAATTTGAAATTAGAAAAAAAACGTATTTTATAAAATGGAGGCAGAGTAGAATTACAAATAGATGAAAATGAATAAAATATAGGTATATACAGAGTTTGGAATTAAAGTTTAACTTATCCAGGATTGGCTATGTCAAGATCTTTAGGCGATAAAGCAGGAAGGGAAGTTGGAGTTATTTCTGTTCCTGAAATTTTATAGTTCGATATTGGAGAAGATGATAAATTTATTGTTATTGCAAGTGATGGAGTTTGGGAATTTTTAAGCAATGAATAAGTTATTTAAAAAAAACATATATTTTATTTTTATTATTTGTTATATTAAGGTTGTTGATATTGTGGCACCTTTTTATAAAAATAATAATATTAATGGAGCAGCGGAAAGCTTAATTAAATAGTCTGTTAAATAATGGCAAGAAGTAATTTTTTTTTATTTTATTTTTATTTTATTTTTTTGTAGAATGATGACGTTATAGATGATATTACTTGCGTTATTTTGTTTATTAGAAATGAAGAAGAATAAAAAAAATTAAATAATGAAGAATAATTAAAATTCTTGAATTTTTTTTAAAAAGATAAAAATATAATAAATAATTATAATGATATATGACTTTTTGAAAAATTATATGTATTCTAATTTTCTATAGAATTTTTTATTCTAAATTTAAAATAAAACTATATATTTTACATAAATAAAAATAAAAATATAAAATGAATTATAATTATTTGATAAAAAAAATATAAATAAATAATAATAATAAAAAATAAAAAAATTAACATAAATCAAAACTAAATAAAATAAAATATAATAAAAAAGCATAAAATAAAAAATCAAAAAATAAAATAAAAAATAAAAAAAATTGATAAATAAAAAAATTTAAAATTTAAAATTAATGTTAATAAACTGATAATATTTAAAATGTATATTTAAAATGAATTAAAAATAAATAATAAAATAGTAAGAATATAAATAATCTTAATAAAATAAAAAAATACTAATAATTAAATTAAAAATTAGAATAATTTGTAATTATATATTAAAAATATAAACTTAATTTGTAAATTTTATATATTAAAAATTACATATTAAAATAAAATAATAAAAATAAACTCTATTATATTATTATATTAAAAATGTTTTTAGAAAAAGAAATTAAATCATAATAAAAACATATAATATATAGATTAAAAAAAAAAAAAAAATTATTGTAATATTATATATGTAATTAAATATAAAAAATTGAATAATATAAAGGATAAGAATATACAAAATTATAAATGGTTTACAAAATAGTAAAATATTTTTAAAATAAAGATTAAAATTTCATAAAGAAAATAAATAAAATAAATTTTATTTTATATTTTGATTAGAATTAATGTATTTATTTTTTT